ACACTCAATTGTATTTTGGAGACTCCTATTTACTAACTGTTGAAAGGAGTCCCCTTATGCAGTCTACATTGAGGGGATTTCTCTGTTAGCACTGCAGCTGTGGAAGAGGGGATGCTTTGCCTCTCTTGACCAAGAAATCAAGGGACAGAAAGAGCAAGCAAGCCCCAAGAACATTTTGTGAGCCATGTGTGGCGGTGCCGGGAAATAGTTTCAGGCAATGACAGATTCGATGAGACTGCAAATGCGCATGGAGCATATGAAGTGTGGCTCAGTGCTGATGGCAAAGTTTCTACCACTGGTTGGGTGGCTGAGGGAGCTACAGCTGTGGTTAGGAAACCGTACGTGCTGGAATGAGCTGTTGAGATGACCGTGGCTGATGGCTGTGGGAGACTGGAACAAGGAGCATGCTGCTTGAAAAGCCGGGACGTTCACTGTACGGTAGCATTCAGCAAACGGCAATTCGTACACGCCCCAGATTAACTTCCAGTTTTGCAGGTACAACTTCATGCTCTTACAGTTGCTAGAGCTGATGACGTTGCTGCCTTGGGACAGAAACTGGTAATCTTGTAACTAATAAACCACAAATTTTTCAAAAAAGTAAGTTTTTAGGACTTGTAATCGCAAAGGAAAGCTTTGAAGCACTGGGTTCGAATAAACCCTGGAAGATGTTACAGTCCTCTTTTCAGCACAAAAGTTGAACGCCTCGTCTGCAGAGTAGACCTAAGGTTTGTACGTGCTTTTAAGGTCCATGTGTTTGGAAGCTACTGAGGTACTTAAAAGACAGTATCTGCTTAGGCTTTGCTTTGAAAACTTAGCTATGGGAAGAGCTGTTCCTGCACGGTGGCACCACAGCGTTGGTTGCAGTTGAGTGTCTAGCACCTCTCTTCTACCTCAGACTGCTTCAAGTTCTTACAGGAGCTCTGGATTTTCCAGAGACCTGAGTACATCTCTTCAGGCTAGTGAATAATAGGAGCCCACGTTTCCTGCTTCTAGAGCAAGGGTCCCACCAACGGCACTGTTGAGCAAGCAGTGGGAGCTGCTTTCATCTCCTGTTCCTCAGTCTGTCTTTTCAAACACATTAGCCACTTGTCTGTTCCCAGACGTACATGTTACTACAAGAGTTTTCAGACTCTGAATCACTGTTTTACAGGGACCAAAAGATTAAATACCTGTCTTTGGGAGGAAGATATTAGATATGCCTCACTGAGGTGATACCTCCTAGCTTCTTTAGATATTCTTATCTACGATAAGGAGAGGGTTTTGAATTCCCTTTTAGCATTCTTGAATTTCTCCAGTGATTAAGGATTAAGGAAACACTTCTTTTTCCTATGCAGGACTGTGCATTTTACTCCTGAGAGAGATATGTTGCTTTTGAAGCGTGGCTGTTGTGCAACCATGCATATGCAGGATGCACTGGGGAAGTGGTTTGAGTTTCCTGCTCTGAAGAAGATGTGTTGGTGGGAAAGTGCTGTGCATTCAAAACTTGCAGTTGCTGGATTGACAGTACTGTAAAATGTTCCTTCAGTTGCTGGCTCAAAAGAGTGTTTTTGTTCAGACTGTGTAATTAGTACCCATATTCAAATATCCGCATACATGCAGTTTGATTTATTTTTAGCTTGAGCTTAAAAAGTATTTTTGAGTCTGGCCTGAAGGCCTATATAAAACTTAAGCTAATTGAGTGGATAAACAAGCTGGATAGCACCTCAGATGTAATTTAGTATGGTTAGTCAGTAGTACTACACAGTTATTTATGACTTCTTTTGTTTTCTGTTTTTAAAGAGAAGAAACATTTTTAGTTTGTGTTGCTTAGAGTGTGAAAATAAGTTACCATGTTAGAGAACTCCACCAAACCACGTTCACTGAGTTTCCTAATGGAGTTATGAAAATGAAAGGTGTTTAAAATGTACATGTTCTTATTTTGCGTTCTTGGAAACCCTGATATCCTTAGCTAATGTTACGTCCTACATATATGTGGTGCATCAAGCACAAGACTTATTCTTGATCTGTCCCTGTTTTACATCAGTGTAACCTCACAAAATTAAAACAACATAATGAGAATCTATGAATCTACGTGTTTTTTACCTCATGTCCCAGCTTATGAACATTCCCATTAATTTGAATAGCAAATTTCATCTTCATTGTCAAAAACATGCTTCTGTATATATTTAGAAATTGTATACTTTATGTAGCTTAAATGAAAAATTGCTTGTAGTGAAGGAATTGCTTTAGGTATGGTACAGCATACTGGTTTTGAAGGGTGCTCCATTCCTTTTGAGCCATGCAATGCTCTAGATGTTTACTTGTTCAGGTTTTCATGTGAAATTTTCCATCGGTTCTTATCAAATGCTGATTATTCACAGGAGTCAGTATGATGAATATTTGGTTTATGTAGTTGCTCACATTTTTCTATGTGAATTACCATTCTCGTCTATTGTAGCATTTTGGTATGTCCAGGGAAGTTATAAAAATAAGGGCTTAATTAGTTTTTAAACCTTCAGTTGTGTTAGTAAATATTTTAAAGTTGTAAACAGGCTCAGTTGTTGCTGATTTTATATTTTAAAGGAAAGGTTTTGTTTGATTGATTATGTAGTCATTTTTAAAATATCACAGTATGCATTGTGTAACTCAGAATATTATCAGTGATCTAGTTATTAAGAATTTATCAAAACCAAGGAAATCATACACGAAAAGTTGGGCCCTTCTGGTCTAACTGTAGACTTTGACTGGGTCAATTTGTGCTTGTTGTGTTAGAGAATATTAGTTCCTTTGTTGGTGTGAAAGGCCAGCAGTGTCACGCTTCAAGAAGTCAGATTATTAATGCATTTAACTCTTTACCATCAGTAAATCAAATGGATTTTTTGGCTTCTTTTCTCTTCATGATTCTTTAGATGCTCCTGCTTTGCTTTCTAAGGCTGATACTTTTTCTTCCTTCAGTGCATCTTCAGTATGAAGTACTCAGCAGGGTTATTCATGTTTCTATTCCGCTGCAGATGTTAGAACCGTCCCTTTTTTACAAAAAGTACCAGAGTTTCTTAATTCATCTGTGGGCAACTGGAGTTGGGGCTTTAGGAAGCAGCTACAAATATTGTAAAATTCACAGCTTAACAGCTGGGCTTTTAGATTTAAAATAAAAATCCTAACAATGTTATCTCATTCTCTGGAAACAGCCTACAGGGAACTGATAACAAAGAGCAAATCCATGCATACCATAGTCGTGTTTTACCACGCAAACCAGGGCAGTCTCACAGTCAGTTTGGAGTAAAATAACTATCAAGATGACTATCCCTTGCATAATTTTTGGATTTTACAAATTTTACGTTAATTTATGTATTTGCCTAGATATCTGTAGCACTTGTTTCCTACATACCTTTTCATGGTTTTGGCATTAACACAAGACTTCTATAAGTCTAATTTTGCTGTCTGTGTTAATACTGTAGGAGTACTCAATGTGTACTTCCATTTGAAACCTAATGACAACATTTTTCTATATTTGATTCTAAACAGTGGAGTTAATCGAATGTTTAAAAAGTGTCAATCCTTTGCTGAAGCTTAAACACTATGAAGTTATATTTTGGGCATGGTGGCAAAAGTTCTAGAATTGGGGATAATTTTAGATTAGTAGATCTAGAGATTTAGTATATAGATTAGTGTAGATAGGGTTTCTTGGCTTCTTCCTCCATCTTTCCTAGAGAACACATACTATTTAAAAGAGCAGTTTGGAATCTGATTTGCCATAAATACTAATTATATTCTTCATGTGGGTTCTTGCTTGCATAGTCGTGATAACTGTTGCTTTGTGCTTAGTGGGCCAGCTCACAGTGGTTATTGTAGAGGGTAATGAATGATGTTTTATTTGTGCTGTACGGTTGACCACATCTGGGGGTGAGAACATGCTGGCAGCTAATTGGCCTGGCAAATGATCAGGCTGCTACAAAACAGGATCTTGTGTTAGGAAGAAAAATAAAATCGCAGTCAACTGCCATCCTTTGCTACTTCTGATGGTTTCTAGTGGAAATGATGAGCATTAGCTGTGGATATGATATTGAGATCTACTCTATCGTGTGCATTTCTTTAAGTCAATGCCTCAAATCAATTTGCAGTTACTAACTCCTTGTGTAATCTCATCCCCAGTGGTCTGTGTTATTTACTAGTTTGTAGAGTTTTACCTGTCTGCATTTGCTCTCCTTTTTGTCCTGGAACACTTGCGTACTTGACTTCTGAATTTATCACGTTAGTAAACATTAAGGACAAATAGCCCTGCCTGGAAGTCAGTGTCATCTTGGCATCAAGCAGTTCTGCAGAAGTGGTGCTGATGATGCTCCTAGTTACAATCTCAGAACTTTAGGTTTCTTTACACTTGAAGGAACTACAATCATGAAAAAAGAGGGAATTACAATGATTCTATTATTTGGTAGATCCTTCAAAAACAGTGAAAAAAAAATTCATGCTTATATAATCAGGAATTTGATGGTGTAAAAAGAGAATAAAAAAATATAGTAGCTTAAAAGCTTGCTGTGGGATTACAGTTGTTTTTAGCACTTGATGGTTAAGTGTCTTTTACTGCTGTGTCTCTGAACTCCCGTAACTGATAATTTAACTGCTAATTCAATTGTGTGATTATTGATTGCCATGTACAATTCCTTGAAGAGCACCACAAATTTAATCTGTTTTTCTCTCTTAGCTGTAGTGGTCTTTCTTCCTCTGTTACTTTGTGTGTTTGCATACAGTGATGTATGTAATAAATATACACCAAAATGGTGTATACAGAGAAAATGGTAAACAAAACATACTTGCCAGAATTTTAGAGCACACTTTTAGATGTAGAAGGCTGTGCTGATCCTCTGTTTTGGTGCTGGACTTTGACCATTGTTTGCCTTTTGCCACGAGGAAAACCTGTGTAATGAACAGATTAAGATGAGATGATTTTTCTCTCTAACAGCACAATTCTGTTTATAACTGTAAATCTTTTTTTTCCCCCTCCTCCCTCGCATCTGTAACAGCTAGCCGATGGCGGAACCTCTTCTCTACACCTGTCTCCTTGGCTTTTCCCTATAGTCCCGTTGCAAGACTCACCCCATATACCAATGGCTTTAATAGTCCCAGCTTCTCTAAAACCTCCAGTAAAGCAATACTAACACCTGAACGGACAGGTAATGCTTATCTTTTTATTGATTTACAGTGCTTACAAAAATGCTTAATTTAATCTAATCTTGCTAGCGTATAACAGCAATGCACTGTTCGGATTATTGTATCGACTCTCGTCTCAGAGGGAGATTTTTTTTTAAATCACCTAAAATTTGTCAATTAACTAGTAGTATAGGTTATCTTCTGTGTTACACAGCATGTTATAGGAAAGTGATGCTAGTAAACAAAGCCTGTTTCTCAGTAATGGTTTCCTTGAGAGTATAGTGTCAGCTTAAACAGTCTCCAGCTTTGTCTGCCCTTTACTGCTCATTTCTGCCCCACCGTGCCCCTTCTTCACGTCTACATAAACCTTCGTGCAGCAATGTAATGAAGTTGCAGGGAAAATTTATCTAAAATAAAAATAGCCAGCAGAATCATGGCTGTTTTCAAGCTGGCATTGTTGCTACTATCCAAGATTTATGTTTGCCACGATTTTTAGGGACACAGGAGTTTTAGGAAAAATACAGACTTTCTATGGGCTGTAAATTGCAGAGAGTTGTATTTTTCCTTCTTCGCTGCAGGTATCAGGAGTCAATGTATATCTGTGACTTCTCTTAAGCTGGAGCAAATAATCTTCTGGGGAAGAGGCATTAACATTTTATTTCTGGCAGGAGCAGGTGTGGTCCAAGGAAGTTAGCATCAGTGTCACACTGATCTGTGCACCATTTTCTGTACAATGTGTAAAATCAGTGCAGAAGGCCCAGTTAGGAATATGGGAGCTGCTGGTGAGATACAGCTCCAAACTGAATACCTGGCGTAGGTGTCTGCGTGAGCGAGATGTCTAAGCTCCTCCATTCCATGGGATGTAGTTCAGTTCCTAAATGAAGGCATCTCATGCTAGCTGAGATACTGTCAGATATCTTGTCTGGCTTCCCACTGCTGCTCCAAAAGGGCACAGCCGTTACTACCTCTGCAAAACCTTGAGGACCTTTGTAACTTGCAAATTTAAAAAAGCAAACACGTTTACTCCTTGTAATCCCTCTGAAACAAAGTAATCCCCTGCGTCTCCTTTTATGTTGGAGATATTATTAGAGAACAGCTGAGTTTAGGATGAATTTTAGGTGGCTGCTTTGAGCAGCGCTAGAGGATGCAAAAGCATCTGTGATACAAGCACAGCTGATGAGCCATTGTCGCAGCGATTCTCTCCCAGCAGGCTGTCCGCCTCTCGTGGACCAGAGGATATTAGAAAGTGATTTACTGTTGTATTTGAAGAATTTTTTTGTTAAAGTTGGGCAACAACTAGCTCATACAACTAACTGTAATTTACTTTATATTTTACTATCATGCAGGGAAAAAAGTAGAATCCAGAGCCCTCTTCAAAAGGTAGCTCAGTGAAGGAGACAATGCTTTCTCTGTTGTTGCATAATATTCAGTCATAATTGTTGTAATCAGTGAATTATCTGCTGATTATAAACAATTAAAAAAACAGTAAAATTTAGATAAATGGCTCTGATGTGGAATCTGAGTGCTGAGCAGAAGTTGGTGACACATACACACTTGATTTTCAGAACAGAATAAGGAGAACCAGAGTCTCATAAGAAGGATTAAAATGCAAATGTGTTTATAGACTACACTAACTAATGTGAGCTGTATCGGAACTGTATTGGGTAAATTATTCATTGTCTGGGCTGCGTGATGCTATTTTGGGAACAAGCAAAGGAATTCATGATCCGTTACTACACTTACTACTTCTCACAAGTATTAAAACCCTTTGCTAATTGTTAGTCGATCACACTACACTACTGAATTTTTTTTTCTGTTATACAGAACATATTTTAAGCAACTGTAACATAAAGGGCGGATAGTCATGAATGAAAGATGGCCAGATGCATTCACACACTAAAGGCTATGTTTTCTTACACAGGTTACATTTCTAGGAGTTCCCCTTTGAGCCCACAGTCATCAATAGACAGTGAACTGAGCACCTCGGAGCTGGAGGATGATTCCATCTCCATGGGATACAAGCTGCAGGACCTCACCGATGTTCAGATAATGGCTCGTCTACAAGAGGAGAGTAGGTGGCTTTTTTTCATTTTTCAAAATAGTCTGAAGATTTCCTGTAACAGTCAAAACTGCTCCAGTCTGGTCTCAGTCAAGTGGATCTTTCTTAAAACAGTATTGCCTCTTGGGTGGCAGGTGGAAAATCTCTTCAACTGCAAGGAGAAGATCTGCACATTGGGTTCACGTTAATGGTACTGGATCTTTAAAAGCCTGATACTTACGTATTTCTGAATCCTAACTGGTAGCTCCATCCCCCTTGACTACATTTAAATTTAGAATATTTATAATGTCTTACCACATTAATTAAAATTTATTTCTGGGAAGGGAAGATGCTGAAGCATTTTTCTCATGCATACATTTGATGAGAAAGGTAAAAATAAGCAACTCTCATGGATTTCTTTACCCCTACTTTGATTTTCTTAATTGTCGGATGAATTTTGAAATTAATTCCTCTTTAAATCCTGAATTAGGGCATTTAAATTTAGCATTTTGGTTTGAGACTAGTGATCATGCACAACACTGAGTGCAAAAGCTGGTTTGACATAGCTTATAGTTTGGGTTGATAGAAATTTTTGAAAAATGTCTTTATTCATAAATAAAGGACATTTGACTTAGAAGGCACTCAGACAGTAAGCGCAGTATCTTTCTCACTTCGTATTAGTGCCAAGTGAGACATCAAGGAGGAAATGATTCTGTGAAAACCAAGAGAAATTCAGAGATGGTGACTGAAGAAAAATGCCAAGTCATAAGTGACTAAATGAAATAAAGGAAACATGAAGAAGAAATCAGAGCTGTGGTCTGGCTGCAGCAACCAGGCCGGAGCAATCACTTGTCAGCAGTCCAACTTGCTGAGCATCTGGTAGCACTCGTGATGTTCAGCATAGAAATTAGCAAGTGTGAGACTTTCAAGATAGCTGAATTCTCAGCTGACAAATGTGTGTGGTCACAGCTTGGAAAATTTCTTATATTATGTGGAAGTTATAATAATTTAAATTAAAGAAAGAATTGTGGCTATCAAAGATACAAAAGATTGCATTACTTAAATGACAGCTGCACTCATCTCCTTCAGAGTGAGGTTTAAAAAAGACTTCAGGTACTTCACTCTTTAAGGAATGAGGTCATTGGTAAACTGGAAGGAAAAACACTGTTTTTCTTCTAATCTGTGTCAGGTGCAATGATTATATCTCATCCCTGTAGTAGCAGCTGGTACAGAATGCTTGAGCACGTGACAGTTGTTGTCCACTTAATCCCGCAGAAAGTGGTAGTATTGTACGTGTACGCAGGCACGCTCTCTTCACGGCCATGGATAGAAACTCCCACCCAGCGTGGGTGGGGAAGCATATTAAGAAGTTTCCATTATGAAGCAAAGACATCTGTCAAAGCTGAGGGCTTTTTGTAAATCTAGGGAAGTTGTTACCCGCAGCTATCGGCGGAATTACTCAGCTTCTGGAAATGCGATGTACATCCCCTTTTTCCCTGGCTACTGTGCAGCTGGGAAAAGGGGGGATGTACAAGGGATGTGGTTGTTTCCCTCTGACTTGACCTGGAGCACACATGCTCTTCTGGGGCAGTGCTAATAGTGGGATGGTTTTCAAAACCTGGCGTTCTGGGAATGGGGTAGGAGGATGTGTACCTGCCTAAAACACGGTCGTTTTACCACTAAGCCTTGTCCGTGAGTCGGCTACTAGCAGGAACTAGTTCTGGTTCAGGGAGGTTGGAGAGCCAGAATATTTACATGGCTTATAAGTTTAGGAAACATCAGCATTTTCATTGTGTGAATATAAAGCTCTAGTAGCAGTAACTTGGAAAACTAATAGCGAGAGTGTTAATTCCTCTAATTAAGAGTGTTTAAAAGTTATATACTTAATACTCATGTAGTCTTTCTGTTGGCAGAAAAATAGGTGCCTCCTGAAGGCAACTCATCTTATGTTAAGAGAAGCATCTTAAACATCTCACAGGTACTGCACTTTGGAGATGCCTGTATTCTTTTTTATTCTTTTTTGTTCTTTTTTATTAAAAGGGAATCTTCAGGGAAATAATTCAGGCTGAGATGCCTGAAAGGTAGACACTGAAAGTTAGATCAGATGAATCCTACCTCAGATCTTCAGCCTGATGACACTGTAAATTTCATTTTTGCTGTAAAATTGCATCTGCTCACTTGCTTAGTTTTCAAGATTGAAGTGCATGTTAAGAGTTAATCACTTGACAGAAGACGGATCATCCTCTTCTTGGAATTTGCAGGCCTTAGGCAAGATTATGCTTCAACTTCAGCATCCGTGTCAAGGCACAGTTCAAGCGTCTCCCTGCATGCGGGAAAGAAAGGGACCTGTGGTGACCAGGAATACGATCGCTATAGTCTTGAGGACGAGGAAGAGTTTGACCACCTCCCGCCTCCGCAGCCACGGCTGACTCGCTGCTCCCCCTTCCAGAGAGGGATTCCTCACTCACAGACTTTCTCCAGTATCCGGGACTGCAGGAGGAGCCCCACCTCCCCACACTTCCCTTCCAACGCTTATCAGCAGCCCTACTACTCTCCTCAAGCCCAAACTCCAGAGCAGCAACCAAACAGGATTAATGGAGGTGGGTCGCATGCTTTTCTGAAAAGTGGTCTTTTCTCTGCGCCAAGTGCTGGTGGCCTTTTAAAGACCAAGTGGTGTCAATCGAGTGAAGTGCGTTTAGTTCTTTGGGCAGCCTGATGTAGTGGAGGGTTTCCCTGCCCATGGCAGGGGGGTTGGAACTAGATGATCTTTGAGGTCCCTTCCAACCCAAAACATTCTATGATTATGATTCTTTAGTGTGTGGCAGCTAGATCAGGCCGTGAATGGTGACAAGCAAAATTTAAGACCATGCAGAGGTATGTTATCGTTAAGTAATTTGCTACAAGATGTCATCTGTGACCTGGTCATGAAAGTTGTTGCTTTAGTCTGTTTTAAAGCGCTGCATGTGCGACCACAAGTGAACAAAGAAGAAAAAGGAAAGATGAATGTCTTTTAGCAGGTTAATGGCTGGTTAGAAGAACTGATCAGGCTTTCAAGCTTGGCTTATGCGTGTCCATTGTGGGTACAGTAAAATACAAAGTAGGGGTTTCAGGTTTGCATTCCCTTTCTTACTCCTGACTTTGCTATTGAGGCAGCTATGCTGTGAATTCGTGATGAATGCCTACAGCAGGGGTGAACACTCTGCTCCTCTTCCAGGTGTGGTAGGGCAGACTGTTAAAGTCGTGGGAGATAACGTCGCTTCCAAACTATACTGAACCATTGCCACTTTTTGCTCTGCGTTTGAGATGTGTTCCAGAATCTCTGGAAGATTTGTCTCTCAGTGCTCACTCAAGACTTCAGTTTCGCTCCGTTGTTGCTCTTACCTTCCTTTCATTTCTTGTTGTGATCACCATTTTCTTCCTCCTGCTGCATCTTACTTTCCTACTCCTTCAGTCTTTTCCCAAGCTAATTCAAAACAGTCGGTTTTCAGTCAGGGTCTTGTTTGTAACATTACAGGTTACAGCTCACCCTTGGGCAAGAAAATAAATGTGCTGTTCAAAACAACACAAAGTTGCTATTTATAGAGTGCTGCAGGTATGCATGTTGCTTTCCTGACAAATAAGATGTGACAGGGCGGTGCCAAAAGCGCTTGCGTTCAGAGTGAGACATGGCGTGGAAGTACAATCGACAAGTGGCAGTATGTGAAGAAGGCTGATGTTAACAGAGGGTAGAGCAACATGGGTGCTTGTTGGTACAGCATATGTGCCATATTAATTTCAATGTCAGTTTTCTTGCTGGTGAAGTACAAGAATGGGACAGCACTGATGCGCTTGCAGAAATGTTGAGGGAAGAGAAAGGAAGGTCAGGAATAAGGACAGGATGTGGTGCTGCCATCTTTTTGTATGGTCCCCGAATACTTTTTCGATGATTTTTTTTGTGTTCCATGTCAGTGGAGCTTAAGCGTTGGATTCCCACATGGAAAACTCAGAAAGTACTTAGCAGGCACAAAAAATACTAGACTCCTAGTGTATTAACTAGAAGGTGTATAAATTTAGAACCTGGCAACGTGGTTACCACGTGCTTGCCTTTTTTCTCAAGAACTTTGAGGTGTTGGATAATCTATTTGGTGTTGCTCAGAAGGTGGACACGTGACTTCAGTTACCTGTTTGCTGGGATGGCAGACAGTCCTATAATATCCAGTACCACTATAGAGGCGATTTATCTCTTCAGCTTCTGCACCTTCAGCCTCTGACTCATGCAGCACAGAGCCACATAAGTGGCAAATACTGGTGGTGAGGAATGTTTTACTTTGGCTGTGTTCTGTTGGCAGACAAGGAGTCAAGTGTTTGATCTATTGAGTATGTCTGAGTAGTATTAAAACAGCATCTTCTCATTGGCACTTCTCATCAGCTTGGCAACAATGTCACTGTCTCTCAAGAACTCCTACACATCCAAATGGAAGTAAACTGCAAAGAAAGACTTCGTCTGACACTCGATATGATGGACAGTGTATTTCCACACACAGTTTACTAAGGCAAATGAGAAAGAGGGTTGTAATAGATGGAAGGGCTAAACTGTTCAGTTACTGCTTTCGATATACGTGGAAAGCATCATCCATAGTTAATCAAAACCACACAAGCCACATGCTGTGCTGCTTTCGGCCATTCCAAGAGTCTTCCCAAATCTCTCTTCCTCACTCTTTCCCCAAAGAGATCACTTGTGCTCTTGTATGTGCAGTCAGCAGTCTGGTCACTGGTTCGTCTGATTATTCTCCATAGAAGAAGAGTCAGTGGCAAGTAAATGTTGGATTTTGGCACTCAGTTTGTGTGAAAAAGCAGTGCTTAGCTTTGACACAATGTCTCCCCAAAACTTGTCTATGTGTTTAGCTCAAGTACAGTTTTTTTTGCCTTTAGGAACAAATGGTATCAGGGGTGCTGTCCTACCTGCTTTTAGTGAAGTTTGGTATGGCATTCTAGTTGAGGGACTTGAATGAGTAACTTTAACTACCTGTACTGTAACAAATATGCTGAAGGTGTGATAAACTTAGAAAACATTAATAATTCTTTTAAGAGTCTAATATCTGTCACCTGATGAGGAGCGCCCACGTTTAGATGCTGAGATGTAGGTGCCCACATGTGTATGAAGGGCCCAATTCAGCTGCCCACATATAAGCACTTAGTGCTGTGTGAGGTACTCTGATACACCATGCTTGGCTTCACCATCACTATGTGTCAGTGTTCTATAGGTGGCTTAGACAACCCAGGGTCTCAAAAGCCATGAGGTACCTACACGTAGGCGTGGAATTGTGCAGTAAGTGTCTGATCTCTCACTATAGCCAGTGGTTTGCTTGTTCTCCATCCACAGGATTGCATTTTAGGTAGCAGAGAGATTGTCTGGTGTTCTGCCTGTGCTTGGGGTGAGAATACTCTCACAGATGTTTTTATTCCAGCTGTGTTTGAAGCCATAATTTTGAACTCACACATTGTTCTTGACAATGTATTGTAGCAAAGTGCTGCTGCTGCTGCTGCAATTTTGATGCTCTGCCCTGTTTTAAATTGCTGTACATGTATTTTAAAATAAAACACCATACATCTGTTTTAAAACACCACACGGTCTAGCCCCCACTCTCAAGCCCGGGTTCTTTCTCTTACATTGTCCCACTCATGTCTGAGTGAATGGTACCGATCCCATTTACTGCCAGTCCCCAACAGCTTGCTCTACGGAAATGTTCCTGGTAAATGCTAGCATAAAGTGGAAGATGAGTGCAAATGTAAATATGTTAAGATGTGTTTAAGCTGGATTTGGGGCCACTTGTGGCACAGACTGTGGGCATACCTTTTGGTACCTCTTAAACAATATTTTTGCAGCCATCACCTGTAGTGTGTATGTTATCTTTGCTTCCTAATAAATTTTATTTCCAGTTCTGGCAAGAATAAACTACTAGAAAAGCTTTGCATGAAATCTTTTAAGTTTCTTTTTCCTTATTTAATTACACCCTCTCCCTAAATCAGCTGAATTGTCTGTGATGATGAGTTACATAAGAAAACTCCATCTGCAAACTTTTTAAGGCATTCTGATTTTCAGGGAATTTGTAATCAGTTAGTGGGTTGGAAATAGATGATTTAAAGAAGATCTGAGAGAGATAGGAAGCAAATAGCTTTTGAGAATCTGTTGTAATTAGCTAGAATCTGTCCTAGTTAGTGTGTTTTATAATTTAAATATTTTAATGTTGCTTTTAATATGTTGGCAAAGGAACAATTTATGTTTATGCCTCTCTCCCCTTCCTCTAATTTGAAGAAGTTCATGGTTAACAACTTAAAATGTTGCTAACTCTATTAATATCAAAAATACTTTGTATTTAGTCATTTTCATGTAAGAAATACCACCAAATTTCATAAAATCAAGCTGTTTTCTGCTTTATGTTGTCTATAAATGTACACTACTTTTTTTTTTTTACTGTGACACAGAAGTAATCTCTTTCATTTTAACTTTTTTAAAAATATTTTTTAGTTCTGTTAGGTCATTTTATTCTTTTTGAATAGATGTTAATATTTATGCCCTTTATTACCTTCTTTTATTTATTCCCTCCTTTATTTTCTGAAACCAGAAGTAACAGAACTATAGTGTTGTGAAATCATCCAGAGTAGTCAAAATCCAGGATAGACAAGATAATGAAAATAGGATTGATCTTTTTGGTGTTCAGACCCACTTTCCAGATCTTGAGATAAACCTACTCATAAACTTTTATCCTGGCATCCCTTATTTCCTGTGCGTTTTAAAGTGTCGATTTTTATAATACATGAAAATTGGCAACTTTATATTTTGGACAAATTATTCCAGCTAAAGAAGCTTATTATAATTCAGTAGGAAGGGGCAGATGAAAAATGCATCCTTCATTGAGTCACAGTGCATGCAATCTGGTTATTTTTTAATGTGCACTTTCCATTACCTTTTCCTGTTGATTTTTAAGTTTTTTTGCTTGGTTGATACCTTCATAAACAGGCCGCTGACTTTAAAAATTTTGCTTTTATGTTCCAGAAATTACTAGTTATGACTGACTTTATTGCATACACTTCTGGGGAATAACTTTTCTTAGGCAAAGTATTATGAACATCATTGGCTTTTTCAACACCTTTGCCTCTTTGGAAAGCTGAAAATGTTGGGTTTGTGTTTTTTTTAAGCAAACTCCAGGCAGATACAGAAAAGCAGCATTTCAGGGACAGTAGGTTGGTATTTAGATATCAGTTCAGTATAGACTAACATGGATTTGCGTGTTTGGAAAGGTGGGAAAAGGTCTGTTCTTACTGATTGGCAGAGTATTTTTCTGCTCATAGACTCTGTCGTTCGGTAAGGAAGGGAGAATTTACTGTGGGAAATTGGTGCAGGCTTTATTAAAGAAAAGGAGAAAAAACCCTTACTTTGTGACCTTCGAAGTTACATTGAGAATAGCGATCAGTGGAGAGAAGTCACGGAAGGATCATGGAAAAATCTTTAATTTGCTGTAACTATCTGTGGATGGAGACATATGCCTGTGAAGCCAGGGTGAGATTAATAATTCTGAATAAAATGCAAGTGTTCAATATTAGCAAAATGTAGGTGTTG